TATATATAGTATATATATATATATATATATATATATATATATATATAGAGAGAGAGAGAGAGAGAGAATGTAAAAATCATTTTTTTTATTTATTCATTCTGACATTTTCACATGTTACAATTTTCAAAACCTGTTTATTACCAGGTTTAAATTAGATTTTGAATCCTAGATTTTCTATGTGGTCTCCACCTCGTCTTGTTAAACAATAAAAACGTTATTTCATTTATTTCAGTGTAGCTTAAAATCTGTATATTCAGTTGGGCAATTTCCCAGTTATCAGCATTTAGGTATTCTTGTTTGAGTGCGTTTGCTTTTTAAATGGAACGTGACCATGCATAATGTACAGATTCGCCTTCTATCGCAATTACTCTTCTGCCGTCAAGCATATAAAATGTTTACCATTCAGAGAGAGTTTTGGACCATGATGTTACCATGGTTTCGCTCAAGCCAGGAAGTGTGCTACATTTCTCCTGCCCTATGTCACAAACAGAAAACATCTGAGCCAATCAAAGCATAGAACCCTTGTGGGCACAGATTTGTGATTTTGAACACCTTGTGATTTAAAGTTGTGTTTTCTTTTCATTTCATAGATTCTGAAATGTGCAGTTTGGAGTTTTTGTCCGTCTTCTCACCTCTGGGCAAATACATTTTTCACACTTTTAGCTTTGGTAGTTCTTTTGTCATTTTGACACCATATTCCCATAACCCCACCGTCTCTGTCACCTCTTTTCTCTCTGCATCTTTGTCTGTCTCTCAGTAAGTGTGCATGTGGTGATGGTAATCTCAGTGATATGTGTCGAATCCCCGCTATGATAGCAGCAACCTTCTTCTCAAACCTTATAAACAGTAACTTAAACAACACTCGCACTCTTTTTGCTACTGTTGAGAGTCTAACAACCCCCCCCCATTCAGATTCCCAGTGAAATGCTCTTCGACAGTAAATGCAATGCTTCCTCCTTTTCTGAGAGGATCAATAATATCAGAAAGGTGATTAGCACATCCTCAAGTTATGCAGAGGTCAGACAGATTCGACCGCAGAAATCTAAAAACCCCCCCCCCCCCCCATTCAGATTCCCAGTGAAATGCTCTTCGACAGTAAATGCAATGAGTTTGCTTCCTCCTCTTCTGAGAGGATCAATAATATCAGAAAGGTGATTAGCACATCCTCAAGTTATCCAGAGGTCAGACAGATTCGACCGCAATCTTAAAAATAAATTACTATGTCTGTTTTTGAAGCAATTGATAGCAAAAGTTTTAGAAGAAATAGGACAGCACCTTAAATAGTCAACCTGCTATCTTGACACACTTCCCACATATTTTTTTCAAAAGTGTGCTTAACTGTTTAGAAGCAGATCTCTTAGAAGTGGTGAATGCCTCACTTCTTTCTGGGACTTTTCCAAACTCCCTGAAAACTGCAGTTGTTAAGCCCCTTCCGATAAAGAGCAATCTTGATAACACCATATTGAGCAACTATAGACCAATATCAAATCTTCCTTTTATAGGCAAGATTATTGAAAAGGTAGTTTTTAATCAGCTGAACAACTACTTAAACTCAAATGGATTTCTGGAAAATTTTTGTAATCTGGTTTCCAACCGCATCACAGCATGGAGACGGTGCTCATTAAGATAATAAATGATATTCGCTTTAATTCTGATTCTGGCTAAATATCAGTGCTGGTACTACTAGATCTTGCTGCTGCGTTTGACACTGTTGATCATAACATACTTCTAGAGAGACTGGAAAACTGGGTCGGTCTTTCTGGGATGGTACGCAAATGGTTCGGGTCATACTTAGAAGGGAGAGGTTATTATGTGAGTATAGGAGAGCATAAGTCTTAAGTCCATGACATGCGGAGTCCCACAAGGCTCAATTCTTGCTCCGCTCTTGTTTAGCCTGTATATGCTCCCACTAAGTCAAATAATGAGAAAGAACCAAATTGTCTATCACAGTTTTGCAGATGACGAAATACCAAGGGTTCACACAAAACAAGGGGATTCCGCTTTTAGCTTTTATGCCGCCCGCAGTTGGAATCATCTTCCAGAAGAGATCAGATGTGCTAAAACATTAGCCACATTTAAATCTAGACTCAACTCATCTGTCTAGCTGTGCATTTATTGAATGAGCACTGTGCTAAATCCGAACTGATTGCACTGTATTTAATGTATAGTCATTTTCTATTTTTAACTGTTTAATTTATTTTAAATACATTTTAAAATCATTTTAAGAGTTTATAAATTCCTTGTGATCATTTTTTTTATCATTATTTTACTTCTTTTTATGTAAAGCACTTTGAATTACCATTGTGTATGAAATGTGCTATATAAATAAACTTGCCTTGCCTAATGTCCGCCAGTGGATAAAAGCCATTTTTCACTGCAACTCTAATGTGTTAATTACAAGTGGCCTGGCTTTACTTGGAGTGCACTTTTTGCAGTGAGCAGGCCTCTGTTTCTCCATTTTCAATGTGATTAGCCTAATGCTTTCTCCCCTGGGCCTTCCTGTTTTTTGCACACACTTTTCATTAGCCTCTCGCTTTGAACACAGGCACACATACGAGAGAGGACACGGGGCGCACGTCTCGAAGTCTTCGTAACCCTCTCTTCACACGGTTCTGTTGTGCTGATGTTTGTTTGGCTGCAGACAACAAGGCTGGAGTTTGTGCACTGAATTGTAAAGGAGGGTTGTGGACTAAACTGGCTGGTGAAGAATGAAATGACAGTGAATGCTATTTAAAGAATTTACAGTTGAAGTAAAAACAAAATTGACCTTTTAAACTTTATTTTATAATTTTATCTTAAAATTGTATTTTATTTCATGGCCATTTTGTCTTTTTTTATTTAATTTAATTTGTTTGGTATCAATAAGTTTCTCATGCTCACCAAGACTGCGTTTATTAGATAAAAATAGAATAAAATGGCAATATTGTGAAATATTTATTATAATAAAAAAAAAACTGTATTTATTTTAAAATGTAATTTATTGCTGTGAGGGCAAAGCTGATTTTTCAAAAGCCACTACTCCAGTCTTCAGTGTCACATGATCCTTTAGATCAAAAATCTAAATTTTTATTCTTTACATCAAAAATTAATCTCAAGAAATATTTCTTATTATATTATGTTGAAAAAAGGTTGCTGCTGCTTATTTTTGTGGAATCTGTGATGTGTATATATATATTTTTCAGAATGCTTAATGAATAGAAAGTACAAAAGACCAGTATTTATTTTAAATAGATTTTTTTGACGTAAGATTCAGCAAGGACACTTTAAATTAAAATTAATCACATTTACTGTAACTTTTGATTAATTAATTTAAAGTGACCTTGTTGAAAAAAATAAATTTCTTTATTTAAATTAGGTGCAATCCCAATTCTATTTTATACCGCTTCCCCTACCCCTCCGCCTACCCCTTCCACTTGTCCCTTGAAACAGAGTGTCAAGGGGTAGGGGTGAAAATATTCCCCTAAGAATTGGGACACCACTACTATACCGTCACACGTCGTCTATCTCCTACAGTGCTGGTGTGTGCATTAGAGCCTTTAATTACCGTTCTATATTAATGTGCTGCTTACTGACACACGCACACACACATATCAGAGATCGCGCAGCTCACACATCCAGAAGCAAAGAAACTTGTCAACGCTGCCCCATGACTTTTATTAATAACAGTTTAAATACTGTTATAAACTGAATAAAGAATAAAAGAATAAAATCGCTGTTTTTGAAGTAAACTCACTCTAAAAAGAGAAACGCGCATACACGCAGCTTTCATCTCTCTCTCTCTGTCTGTCTCTCTCTTTCTCTCGAATTGGCAATATTTGAGAAAAGGGTTTAGCGATTTCTAATTATTGGGGGGACTAGCCCCCTTCAATGTCTATGTTGGTTATCGCCCTGATCAGACATGAAAATATGTTGTGGCACTATCGTGCAGTCTGTAATGTGAAGTTAGCAAACTTTAGCGATTTTTTGCAAACATTTCTTTGAATAACATGACCGTAAATACGAACCACACGATTGAATGTAACATAAAACAAATGATTACTTTTCATTAAAATCTTGATTAATGCCAAAAATGCTTACATTTATGTGTCTTTCTGTTCGCTCGGTCAGCCATATTGCTGCTGAAGCCGGTTTACGCTGAGATAATTCATACCCCTTCGTTTGAAGTGTGGTCCCGAAAAATCTTTGTTTGAATCTTCTGTCTGGCCCTTCCCCTTACCCCTACCCCTCCAACCAAAAGAGAATCGAGACACCCCTTCCCCTTCACGTGAACGCGCGAAATGGAGGGGTAGGGGAAAGGGGTATAATGGGATTGGGCCTTAGTCTTACTGACCCCACACTTTTTAATGGTAGTGAACAATTTTAAAATTGTATAAATCAACCTTAATTTCTAATGAACCAACTTAAATTATTTATAAACAACAGTAGCTTTTAAACAAATATTAACCTGATTAATAAATGTGGTAAAAGTACAGTTCAGAGTATTAATTGTCATGATAACGAATACAACTGATGTTAACAAACTTTTTTTATTTTTATGGTAAATTACCACATATTTGTGCCAAGGTTATTATTTTTTTTTTTTCAAAACATGTGCCACTTGGGTTGATATTTTGTTACATAATTACAATGACATTCATACATGTTAAAGTGTGGCTAAATTACACTGATGCTTTTTGGGGACACTTACTATGAAAAGCACTACCACAGTCAGTGTTCAGTGTGCTAGCACAGATCTCTTGATGAAAAACAGGACGTCATTATCAGTGTGAGACCACTTTGGTCTGTTGCTGCCTCTCCATCCCCTGCTGCTGTGGCCCACTCTGATGAGCTCATCACTTCCTTTCACTCCAATCTCTGTGGATTGCCACAAAGCTCTGCCAATTTACGCCGTCCCTTTCCACGTTTACACTGGCCTGCCACATCTGATAAAGGCTGTTACTCTTTTTTTCAAATCTTTTTGCTAGAGGAAGTCGGTGATAACGTAATCTGAAAGAGTGCTTTTGTTTCTTTTGGAAACTCTTGAATATAGATCAGAAGAATGGGTGAACAAATATCAGTTCCAGTAAACTGCCACCATACGGCCTACGTATTTCATTCTGGATTCCAGGTATAACAAACAAAGCAAATCTTGGGATCAAAAAACAGATATAATACAAAAAAGCACTAGATAATGATCCTTGCTAGCTATCCATTACTGTGCCTCTTGCATCTCTGTTGTACTCAAATTGCACCTACACTAGTGTTCAAAAATGTGGGATCTGTAAAGAAGTCTCTTATGTTCATCAAGGAGGCATTTATTTGTTGAAAAACGGTGAAAATGGTAATACTGTGAAATAATATTACTATAATTTAAAATAATGGTTCTCTATTTGATTATATTTTAAAATGTAATTTATTTTTGCAATGGCAAGCTAAATTTTCAGCATCATTACTCCTGTCTTAAAGGGAAAGTATACCAAAAATGAAAATTCTGTCATTAATTACTCCCCCTCATGTTGTTGCAAACACGTAAGTCCTTCGTTTATCTTAAGATATTTTTGATAAAATCCGAGAGCTTTCTGAGTCTGACCCTGCATAGACAGCAACGCAACTACCATGTTCAAGGCCTGGAAAGGTAGTAAGGACATTAATAAAACAGTCCATGTGACATCAGAGAATACTTTTTGTGTGCAAAGTAAACAAAAATAACATGCACTCTCATTTACTCTTGTGAACGCACGTTGAAGACTGACACGAAAGAGAAGAAATTGTTGAATAAAGTTGTTATTTTTGTTTTCTTTGCACACAAAAAGTATTCTCGTAGCTTCATAAAATTAAGGTTGAACCACTGATGTCACATGGACTACTTTAACGATGTCCTTACTACCTTTCTGGGTCTTAAACATGTCAGTTGCTTTGCTGTCTATGCAGGGTCAGAGAGCTCTCGAATTTCATCAAAAATATCTTAATTTGTGTTCCGAAGATGAACAGAGGTCTTACGGGTTTGGAACAACACGAGGGTGAGTAATTAATGACACAATTTAAATTTTTTGGTGAACTATCCCTTTAAATGTCACCTGATCCTTTAGAAATCATTCTAATATGCTGATTTTGTGCTCAAGAAACATTTCTTATTATTATCAATGTCAGAAATTCAGCGTAATTATTTTTTTGTGGAAACCATGAAACTTTTTTTTCAGGATTCTTTTGAAGAACAGCATTTAATTGAAATATATTTTTGTAACAATATAAAGTATTTAATATTTACTATTGCTTTTAATTCATCCTTGATGAATAAAAGTATTCATATGTGCAAATGCGACATGTGAGAGCTGTAGATCTGAGAAGGAGGCCATTCGTCGGCATTAATGAACGCAAACCCTCTTTCCTGGTCACAACAAAACCATAAATGGCCCGCATTGAGTCAGATGGCTACTTCCGTGTATGGATTGAAGCATGTGTGAAGTATGCTGATACAGATAAGCAAGGCTGTTGAACAAACACTTCAGCACGAGGCGAGACTGTCCGTAAGCGAATATGAAAAAGTAGGTGATCACTGCTCTCAGAACAGCATTAAAGTTCAATTCGATCACATTTTGTGGAAGTGCATGAGAAAATAGTTGGTTACATACAATACATCTCATCCATCAAGTTCTAGGTAATGGAGAGCTTACTGTAAACATATGTTATTTTTTTAAACGATTGTTACTTACAAACTGTTTCTGACCCACATTTTAATGTATGCACGTCTACACAGAATCTGACGGTTTTTACATTTTCAGTGCTGATTATGAACAGAATTTTGCTAAATATTGTATCGTGTTCATGCTCTGTAAAATGACCTTATCTGTGGCTGAAAGCAATAGGCAAAATATTTACTTGGCAAACAATGTAATGCTTGCGTGTAATGTAACGTATGTAGCAAGACTTACACTTTAAGTATCTCCAAATTAGATGGTCATGCATAAATGAAAACAATGTTTCCAACATTTGTGTAAACACTGAAAAAAATACATTATTTCTATCAAGATTTACAGCTGTGGCTCTTAACTACAACCATAATGTCACAGGGACACGGAAAGATTCACTGCTTCATCATTCTCTCTGAATCACCCATCCAATTCCCTCAGTTCATCTACTGAAATTGTAATTATTGATCTTTTTTTCCTCCCCCTCCACACACAGAACATTGACATCACCAACTTCAGCAGCAGCTGGAATGATGGGCTCGCTTTCTGTGCCATACTTCACACCTATCTGCCGGCACATATCCCCTACCACCAACTCAGCAACCAGGACAAGGTCTGTACACTCAACACACAAGGCACAAACAGGGTGAATTCAGGTAAATTGGACAATTTTCAATTTGCCTGTGGCAAGTTGATCTGAATTCACTGATCAGTTTGTATATATCAATAGGCACAATAAAACATTTTAGAGAAGACTTGCATGTAATTCCGTTCATTTATTGACATCAGTTCTTCTTGCTTGTGTTTTGCAGAGGCGAAATTTCACTTTGGCCTTCCAGGCAGCAGAAAGTGTGGGAATTAAATCGACACTGGTGAGTTGAATACGAACATCACAGCTAATTAATATATACATCATATTACAGTGCCTCAGAACCTAATTAAATTTAACACTTTCATTCAAGCAAGGATGCATTAAATGAATCAAAGGTGACCGTAAAGACATTTATAATGTCACAAAAGATTCAGTTTGTTTGAGCTTTTTGTTCATCGAAGAATCCTGGAAAAATTACATCACAGTTTGCATAAAAATATGAAGCTATTGATAAAAGTAAATGTTTCTTGAGCAGAAACTCAGCATATGAGAATGATTTCTGAAGGATCATGTGACACAAATTCAGCTTTGCCATAACAGGACTACATTTTAATAAAAAATATATTCAGATAGAAAACAATTAAATTGTTATAATATTTCACAATATTACTGTTTTTACTGTATTTTAATCAAATAAATGCAGCCTTGCTGAGCTTTTTTTAAAAATCCATTTTAATAACTTTCCTGTCAGAGGAGGCATGTTTTTATCTTTTTAATTTGTATCTTTCCTAATGAAATTCTGTTAAACATATATGACCTCAGTATGATGTACAATCTCTTTATTGATATCTGTTGAATAAATCTCCTTTTGTTTTGAATTTCCCTCAACATTAGTAGATAATTTCCTAATTTTGCTCTCCACCCTGTTAGTAAATATTACTTTCAGCTGTAAAACATGAATTCAACTAGCTATGACTTCAGTTTCCTGACATAACATCTCAAACTGAGAAACATTCAACTATGAATCATCAACGCTCCTCCTAATTTATGATCTTTCAAGGGTTTTCTTGTCATAGCCTGTTTGATTACAGCTAATTTTTGTAAAGATCATGCTGATCTTTATCTGTATCTGTTTGATACAGATAAAGATCAGCATGGCGCCGCAAATGGCAGCAAGGACGCTGAGCTCCGCAATTCTTCTATTGTTTTTGTTTGTTTGTTCTGTGTTTTGTCATTCTTCTTCTATAAGTTTTACCAGAGACGAACTCCTTAACATTAAGCAGCACATCCCGGACAACATTTTTCCATTTTTTGATTATTCGGACGTTTTGTTGGACATTCTAGTCGGAGGTACAGCGGTGTTGTTCAAACGCGCGTGCAGACGCAGAAGAGGGAAACGCGCCGGCGCCCTGGTAAAGCTCCGCGCGCGCGGCTTTCGGAATGCGCTCCCAAGCATTCATCTCGCGAATGTCCGTTCCCTTCCTAACAAAACGGATGAACTTCTTCTCCTCACCCGCACCAACAAGGACTTTTCAAACTCTGCTGCACTGGGCTTCAGTGAAACCTGGCTGAGTGAAGCCATTCCGGACAACGCGCTTCATCTCCCGGGCTTCCAGCTGTTCAGAGCGGATCGCATCGCGGAGTTAACGGGGAAAACCAGAGGT